GTCGGGGAGCGGGGTGTCTGCTCGCTCTGGGGAGCCGGGTCTGGAGCCCTGGCTCTTCTCGGGGGTTTCAGTGCGAACCTGCGGGCTCCCCCGAGCCTCATCCCACCCTGGGGTACAGGAGCACACAGGAGGACAGCGCTGACTGAAAAGGCCAGCTAGCGAGACACACTGCAGAGCAGAGCCCAGTCATCATCATCGTCATCATCGTCACCTTCCAGCCGCCGAGTCCTGGTGAGCAGGCCGAGCCAGGCCCACCCGTGTGTCCTGGGTCTGCCCCGGCGGGCCCGAGCCCGATCCACGTCACCGGCTCCCCTCGGTCTCCTCACCCTGCGTTACTGCCTGCTGGTCGATCCCAACCCCCCCTCCAGTCTCTCCCGGGACAGACCACCACCTCAGGGCTGGAGTGCAGACGCACGACCTCGGACCCCAAGCAGGAGAGGAGCCCCACACCCCCCTCGAATGGGCTCGACTTAACGCCCAGAATGCAGACAGAACTCTCACTCCATCACCCCAAACAGCACCCCACACTCCCGCAGCACCCCTCACCTCGCCACGGGGTGTCTGCCTACACCTCGTCCAGATCAACCAGCACAGCACGAGCCCCCAGCAGCCCCAGATGTCTGCAGAGGACAAGGAGCTGGCCTGCTGCTCCAGCCCAGAGGCCTCCTCGCTCCTGTGTCCCAGGCTGCTGGCCGGGCGCCTGTGCAGCTGGAGCCCTCTGGTGGGGAAACCAAGGACTGCAGCGGCGAGTCACTTAACCCTGAAGTTCCCGGATGCGTACCGGACCGAGCTGTACAGTACATCCTCGTCCATTACCCAGCCACCCCCCCCGTCCTGCAGAGGAACCCGAGACGTTCTGATTACAGGTGAGTAATATCTGAGTCCGGGCCACGCCGGCTCTGTGGGCCAGAACTCGAACCCACGACCCCCTCAGCTCCGAGCCCAGGGACCACCTGCCCCGCCCGAGGCACCTGCTCACCTTTAGGGGGAGACAGCGATCGGCGAGGCGAGAGGCTGCGCTGCCGGAGCGCCGGGCTCCTCGCTCGGCCAC